TGGATCACAAAATTCTCAAAACGAACTAGGAGATGTAGGCCTTAGCATGTGAGAAGCTCTAAATTAAAGCATTAGATCTGTTTTTTACATATTACTACGCCTCCTAAGTCCTTGCATGCTGATATTTGCATTAACCATGTTTAAAAATGATATTAACCTCTAGGCCTGGGAGCTTTCACCTTGAGAAAAATCCGAGGGAGGGAGAGATTGATGCAGAACGCTAAGCACAATATGTTTTCACACCATGAGTTTCAAGAACAGTGTGACTGCAGACGAGAGTTGTTAAGAGTAAAGCACAGCGTGTTCCCAAGAGCCATTCACTGTAGCAGCACTGCTTTTCAATTCACATCAAATCTGCAGGAGAGGAGATGTGCAGTGGACAGTAGCGAATCCAAAGTAGGGAGAAACTTTTGTTGCAGAATTGTGGGTTGAAGAGCTCTTGACTTTAATTATGATTTTGTTTTGGCATTCAAAACACCTTGGGTCAGGAAACAAAGTGGTCATGATTAGTACCTTTTTCAATGAATAAAGCAATCTGAGTCTTGGTCCTTGGCTCCTGGGTAATATAAGTCAGATATTTTCTAGATCAGTAACATCAAATTGTTAGTTTTGTTAATCTAGTTTGTTTTCTTGCTTCCATACAGCATTATGTCAATGTGTTTCCTATTTTTCAAAAAAAAGGAGTCAAAAGGGTCTTGGGTAGGATCACAAAGGCCAAAAACAACACTCAAAAAGAAAGGATATCATACCAGTAGTGGCATACTTATTATAGAAGCCAGTATTTCAACTTAGTTTGGGTTCCTTAATCTCTGATAGCGTATTATAGTAATGTTATGATTTAACAGAGTAAATACATAACATATTGTTCCTTTAAAGAGTCTGTGGTAAAAATAAAAAAAGTTAACTCAAAACATGAGCCAGAAAATGGTATCATACAGTCTGATAGTGTTAAGTATGGTTCATTAGAGCCAAAACAAAAACACCAAGAGAGAAATTATACACCCAAGGCCGGAGCAGTTGTGTGATGTCTCGAAGATCTGTTTGAACAAACCAAGAGAGCAAATTATATTCTACAGAAGAAAAAAAATCCATATGCTTTCTCTAACTTGGAAAGCTGTTACGATTCCAGACACTTAGTATGTAGGACCCAAATGCAAAACCCGGGAGACAGAGGTAAAGTATTTGTTGGATACTTTATTTTCCATAACAGCAAAAATGAAAACGCTCACGCAGTGAGGAATCAAAAAACCAAAGAGTTCCAGGAGCATAGACCTTACAGTGACAATAGACAAGACAAACTGACACTGAACACTGGGAGACAGGGGAATTTAAACACAGGGTAACAAGACACAGGTGGGAATAATCAGGGAATTAGACACACCAGGGAACTAACGACAGACATGAAAACACAGGGAAAAGAGACCAGACAATATACAGGGAGGAAAACATGACAAGGAGAACGGATAAACACGACAGCAAACACCCAAACCTAGACAGACAACACTAAAACCCGTGACATAAACCTGGGGGTGTGACAGAACACCCCCCCTCAAGGGACGGATCCCAGACGTCCCAAAAAACAAAGTCCAGCAGGGTGGGTGGAGGGGGTCCGGAGGACGGGTCTCGGGCGGTCGGCCCCGGGCCCGGGTGCAAGCAGAGACCATGGATGCGGGTCTCGGGCGGATGGCCCTCGGGGCAAGCAGAGTTCAAAAAGGGGTTCTCGGGCCGGACGGCGCGGGCAAGGCCAAGAGTTCAAAAGGGGTCCCGCGCGCAGCAAGCAGAGTTCGACGAGGGGCCAAGACCACAGCTCTCAGGGGCCGGGCAGGAGCCGGTGTTCGACCGACAGGAACCAAAGCCGGTGGGAACGGGTGTTGGCAAGATTTCTCCACGGAAGAGACAAGGAGTTGGCAGGACCCTCCGGCGATACAGGTGATGTCGACCGGCCTCCCAACGAAACAGGACAATGGATCGGCAGGGGCCCCCTGGTAGCGAGAAGTAGTCGGCGGGACCCCAACGGGACAGGACACAGCCGGCAGGACCCCCGGCAGACAGAGTAAACTTCGGTGGGGTGCCCTCGCAATGCACAGGGGACATAGGTGGCAGGCAACCCCGGCAGAAGAGTAGTCCGGCGCGGGCCGTCCAGTGGCACAGACATAGGGTCCTGGCAGGACCTCCGCGGAAGAGTAGTCGGCGGGGGCACCAACAGCACAGGACATAGGGTTGGCAGGACCCGCCGGTAGGAGAGTAGTCGACGGAGCCTCCAAGGCACAAGACATACGATTGCAGGACACCCGGCAGGAGAGTAGACGGCCGGAACCTCAGACGACACAGGACATAGAAGTTGGCAGGACCTCCCGGCGGAGAAGTAAGTCCGGCGGGCGCCTCCAATGTCAGGACATCAGGTGTGCAGGGACCCCTCGGCAGAAGGAGTTCCGACGGCTCCCACGGCACTTGAGTAGGGACTTGAGGTGGAAACTCGAGAGAGGGGCTTGAGAGGGAACCTGAAGGAAACTCTGAGAGTCGACTGAGAGATGCACTGAAGGGATCGTTGAGAGGGAACTTGATCGCACGACGCTGAGAGGGGCGACCTCCCAGAGAGGCGCACTCGGAGAGGATACTGTGAGAGGGAACTCGAGAGGATACTTGAGAGCGGAACTCGAGGAGGAATCAATTGAGAGGGGAACTCGAGGAGGACGACTTGAGAAGTGACTTGAGAGGAACTCGAGAGGTTGAGCTTGAAGAGGAAACTCGAGAGGGGAACTGGAGACGTGGACTTGAGAGAAACTCGGAGAAGGGAACTCGAGAGGTTTACTTGGAGAACGTGTCTTGATGGAACTCGAGAGGAGGGGACTCGAGAGGGGACTTGGAGAAGAGATTGAGAGGGAACTTCGAAGGTGAGACTTGAGAGGGTAACTCAAGAGAGTGGGACCGAGAGGGGAACTGAGGACGGACTTGAGAGGAACTCGAGAAGGAGTGCTTGAGAGGAGACGTGAGACGGTGTTCGCCAACAGGACCGAGACAGGCTGGACGTCGGCGGAGAACACGGAGACGAGGCGCTGGAGTCGGCCGGCCGCTACGCCGACAGGACTCGGAGCTGAGGCGTCGGCTGAACGTCAACAGGAGCGGAGGTGCCGAGCGCCGGGTACCGTCGACAGACTCGGGACCTGGCGTTGCCGTACGCCGCCATGATTCGGGGCAGCGGCATTGGCCGTAAGCAGCTCCTGGACCGAAAGCGAGTAGGGACATGTACTGGGGCGGCCCTGAGAAAGCCAGAACGACGGTGCGTAAGGTTCCGGTTTGGAGCGGAACCGGCTGTAAGGTCGGTTTCTGGAGCCGAACTGACTGCTGGGTGGCACGAGCCCGGGACCATGGCTGTCAGGTCCGGGTTCATGGAGCCGGACACAAAACCCTCCACGGTCCGGTCCTGGGGCCGAAACATGACTGCTGACGGCACTGGAGCGCGGAAACAGGGCTGTATGCTCCGGGTTATGGAGCCGAAACATGGCGCTGGTAAGTCCGGAGCGAAGCAGGACCATGGCCGGCTGGGCCGGTCACGGAAACGGGAACCATGCCTGCTGGCGCGACGGAAGCTCGGACCCTGGCTGTGCTAGTCCCAGCTAATGGAGTGATGGAAGCATGGATGGCGGGGCCAGGCACTGAGGCCATCGAGGCATGGACCCGTGGCTGGTTCTGGAGCAGGGAACCGCATCAGCCTGCTCGGGGGCCGCTACTGGGCCCGGGAACCTGACTGCGGGCAACCGGAACAGCGGCCCGCCCCCGGCCGCGGCCGACCCGGAACACCGGATCCATGGCTGGTGTGGGATACGTACAGGAGCCACGGGNGCGGCTAGCTTTACTCCAAAAATAGTGAAGTTTGGATTCAAGGATTATGTTGTCGATGACGCTAATAAGAAGAGAACACCGGTATGCAGGGTCTGCAGCATAAAGATCAGTGACACGACCACCACAACATCCAACTTCATTCGTCACTACAAAAAAAAACACAGAGAAAGCTAGGCTACATCATAGCCTTGGGAACGTGTTTCAAATGGGGGGTGCTGTGGGGATGACACCAGGGCTGGTTCTTACCAATTTGCTGCCCTATAGGCAAGATTTTAGCTGGCAATGAAAAACCTCTACAAAAGACCAATACACTACAAAAAGAGAAACATATTGACATGGTGGACAGCTCATATAAAAGGCTTCAAATGTAAACTTACTCTTTTCCCTTACACACACTCCCAACAAACAATCATAATCGGTATTTTCTCACAAAGTTCTGTGTGCAAGGCAGCCAAAAATAAGTAAAAACAAAAGTTAATTGGCAGTATTGGCATGCAAGATAGAGTGAAATGCAAGGTTCTTGTAGCACGTTACTGTATTAAGCTGTGTTTTTCAGACCTAGTTCAAAGCAAGGGCTTGCAGGACCTTCTCAGTTGTTGCATCAAATCCCTCACAACCCTACCCAACCATCAGACAGTCACACTATATTATTTTCTTTTAAACAAGCCATGACCCATCTCTTCATTTTGCCTTGTAGGGATGAGATAACAGCATGGCACCAAAAACATTTAATTTAAAAGCAATTAAAGGTGGGGTAGGTAATATAGGTGTTATATTCCATGGAATGCTCTTAACATCCCAATAGCAATGACTATCTTAGGTGCTTTGACAAAAAATCCATAAAAGAATGTCATCTGTGGAAGCCGTAGTACTGTAAAAAGCATGACCAATCATTTGAGCCGGCCCGGCTAAAATAACTGGATGGCCTACCTGCCTGTCAGCCTTCCATCTGTGCACAAACTTATCTCGTGCCTTCATTGGTCATGTGCGCGTTCGTGTGTGTTGGAGGAGGGGCTCTGTAAGGAAGTGGCAGATTTTTTCCGGCTGTGTATTTTCAAATTCTTGCGCACTCGAGCTGGTTTCTCCAAAATTACCTACCCCACCTTTAAGTGAAGCTAATGGATAAAAAGATTGTTCAAATTATTGAGCTCACACACCGTCAACGATTCTGCGTACATCAGCCACGTTAGCAGGAAACGTGTAGAGAACTCCAGCGGGACGATGAGAGGACAAACCGTGGCCGGCCAGGTCCACCGCCACATATCTGCACTCTGACAGGAAGTAGAAAGGGAAATACAATTATTAAAAACTACAAACAACCTGGAAATCAAACAGGCTTTAGGCTTGCATTAATCATTCTAATACCCTTTGGTCCCATTAGAATCAAACCCATTGGAATCAGTTTAACTTTATCTAGTGCTAATTAGCTAATGCTAGCATCATAGACTGTATAATGGTTAGCACGCTACTAATAAGCTCAAACTAAAATGTTGAACAGTGTAAACATTATACACGCTTAACATCAGCATGTTAGAATTTTCATTTTGAGACCGACATTAGCATTTAGCTCAAAGCTATCACAAAGAGCTGCTAGCATGACTGCAGGACTCATAAGCCGTGAACCGGATCCACACACTTCTACAGCATTATGTATACATCATAGAAAACCCCAGTATACTTTTGAATAGTAGTTAATATTCAAAAATAGGACAAGACTTTCAAATGTTTTGCCCTTACAGAGAAGTATGTGTCCCCTTTTTTTTGAAAGATGCCAACCAGACACAAAATGTTTTACCACCTCTTTCTAACTGCTCATCGTTTGACTTGGTGCCTTGGGAGAAAATGATGCAGCACTATGAGTACACTCAAAAAGTCGACGACTGTATGCTCTCTACTTTGAGTGCACTTTAACTTCACAGCAGAGATTGTTCGTATTTACAAACACCTGGGCACAATCATCCAAAAAGACACTCGAGAGCTCAACAAAGACTGTTTTTACTGAGGAGTCTAAGCTCTTTTTATGATGACAAACGGTAGTGATTTAGTTGTATAGATCTTTTACTCAACATCGTTTCTAACGTTCATATTGATCTACTGGTTTGGGAGTATTAAGGTGAGAAGTAAGACAAAGCTGACGCACACATTCTGATCCTAAGTACAGCAGCTTCAGTCTCCTTTATTGTTAGAGCATTTGCTACTGTGAACAAAGCTCATCAACAATTTGTGCATGTTATACATCTATTAGTGTTTACTCAATGCACTTAGAAAACTTGAAACTTTTACTTATTGTTGATAGTGTTTTGGTTGCCGTCGTATGTACAGCATTCATTTCAAGTTTTCCGGACCTACAGGACACTTTTCTAATGTGAACACACATAAACCTGGAAATATGAGTCTCACAGACAGAGAGGAAACAGTAGGAAAAGTAACAGAATATCAAACAAAAGATCAAAACACAAAAAGAACTAGAGGTTTCTTTTTCTAGAGATGGACACATTTGGGGAATGAGAATGGGGAGCAGGAGGTCAGGTGACTGAAGGGCTATTTGTGGACAGGCACAACTAATCAGGAGGGGGGCAAACACACAAAGGCAGGAAGTTAAGTGATCTGGAACGAGGGGGGAGATGAATAAAACAGGATGCCCAAAACAAGAATGAAAGACATGAAACAGGAGACATCACCTTGGAGCAGGGCAAAGTAAACTCAGCGGGAAATTTGGATTAAGATCAACTAAGTCTTGTCAAAATGGGAGTTACTTTTGTCTAGTCTGTCATAGTTTACCTTTGGGTAGAAGGGGGATGAGGGTGTTAAATGTGCCACAGTTGTCAGCCCAGCCGTGCAGGCAAAGCACAGGACGACCATGTTCAGGACCCCAAGCTCTCCCTCTGATTTCCCCCCATGGCACCGGGATAGAGAGCTCTGAAACTGACACATTAAACAACAATGCATCTCCTCAGACAACAGCAACAAGGATCAGTCAGATATTTACTGTTAATATAAACTAGATTAAACTACAGGGTTGAACTGAGTTCATGCCACCAGAGGCCTGTACTACGAAGCTGGTTCAACCTAACCTGGATATGTTTGAGTTAGCCGGTTGGCCTAATCCAAAACATACGCGCTCTCGCTAAACGGTACTACGACGCGGGTTATCAAGTGGATCGCTCAAGCCAGCCGTGCCCTATCTAGTTAGGTGCGCGTTCACATGAAAGGGGTGGTATTTGGAGCATTCGACCAATCACAAACATGGAGAAGCGTACTGACAGCGCAGCGTCATACTTCTCGAATGAAAAGTAAACTATAATATTAGTCAAATATGAAGAAGTTAAACTTTAAACATCCATGACTTAAACACTGTGTCCATGATAAAAGCCACATAGTTGAACCTGCAAGGAGAATACAGCTGCTAAAAGAAAAAGTGTTTGAATGCGTTTATATCACTACCCCGTCTAAGACACGAGTGGATCTGACTTTAATTACATTTGTCTCGAGTGTTTCGTCAACTTAATGTGTTGCTTAATGTAATTAAAGTCAGATCCACTCGTGTCTTAGACGGGGTAGTGATATAAACGCATTCAAACACNAGACAACAACCCACTAATATATTTGGTGAACACTAGAAGGGAAGTGAATCCTGATAAGTGTAATGTTACACAAACGTCGGATTAAAAATAATAATAACAAACTACCCCTTACATTTATCCTACAAGTACAATTTATCCCTACAGTGACAACAACTACCTGAATTTGTATCTCAGGTTCCCCCCCTAAAAACGGAATTTTTGGTGCGGTGTGTTTGGATATATTTGTGTAATTTACTATTCCCCCTTTGGGAATTACGTATTATCCCTCATAACGATAACGTACCGTTTGAGAGTTAATATTACGAAAAAGAGTTCTTATGGTATACAGACGAAAATTACACAAAATGAGTCTGGTTATAACCCGAATAAGCTAAAATACTCCAAAAATTTAGTAGTATAAACGCAAATCATACTGAGGTGTATTGGACTGGTTCGACTTATAACATTACCAACACTCCTCCCTAACGGGTAATAAACGTATTCGACTAGACGAGGGTAGTGGTCTATAACAAAAGATTCCTATGTCGATTTTGTAACGGTGATGGGGGGGAAAGGGTCGTAGACTAACATTATTGCACGTACACCAATTCATATTTACACGAACCTACGAAGGGGAATACCTACCAGTCGGACTCGTCCCCCGAACATTTCTCACGGTTAGTGTAGGGAGGTGTCCTCTCCTATGCTCTCTCTTTTTTCGTTTGTACATTGGTCTGAACCTTTTCTTTTCCTTCTCTTTTATATTAATTTAAAAGTAACGAAGGACAGTGACGTGCAGTTTATTTACATCAACTTCGGTCTGGTGGGTTTACGTCAATAAAAAGTCAATGGAGTTTTTAGAGTTACTTTTTTCCAGTTACACTTTGGCAACACTAAAAACATTTAATTTCCACATCCATTCAAACTCTTTGGCCGAGAATCTATGTAAACGAACAATATAAAGGGTACTTTACGAGATGTAAAAAAAAAGGCTAACTCGTTACTTATAGAATTCACGGACAACCTGTTGTTTAGGAATTTTTTTACAAGTAGACACCTACGGGCATCATGACAATTTTCGTACTGGTTTTAGTAAACTCGGGCCGCGGGCCGGATTTTATTACTGACTACCGGAATGGACGGACAGGTCGGCGAAGTTAGACAACGTTGTTTGGTATAGAGCACGGGGTAACCAGGTACACGCGCAAAACACTACACAACCTCCTCCCCGAGTACATTCTTTTACTCACGTACTAAACAAGGCCGGACATATAAAAGGTTTAAGACGCGTGAGCTGAACAAAGCAAAGAGGTTTTTAATGAATGGGGTGGAAATGTCAAAAAAACGTTGACACGGGGTTTCACATGTATTTATTCAATCAAATTTTCTTCTCTTGTCATAAAAATTTCCAGGTATAAACAATAAAAAAGTTTTTCACGAAAATAAAAAGAGTATGACGGACGAAGGAAAAAAAGTGGGAATAGACTTTTGGCTTTGGGATAAGACGGAGACTAACCAAATCGCCGACCGAGACAAACCTATAACCAGTTTACGAATCTCTACAATCCTTTACTAGGGCGGTAAACGGATAGTACTGTGTATACACAAACCTGCGCGATCGGTTATCTTCGTACTCCAATGCAATTTCTGTCCCCGTCCAATTAACCCTTTACGTACACGTAGTTGAGACGGCCGGGCTTGTCCCCGTTTTTGACATTATCTTGCCAGAACTTTACTTTACTTAACATTTCACATAGGTTGTACATCACCGCAGTTTGGGACTTCTCAACGTTAAAGGTGAAAGTTTGTTGTATTGATTTGGAAGTTGAAACTTTATTTCACTTCGTACTTCCTGGATTTTCTGGTATGTGTCATTTTTTTACCTCCCAGCGGACGAAGGAATTCATGTTTAAAGAAAAATGGTTCTACGAAATTGTGAATTGCCGATGAGAAAGAACCGAACATCCTAGACAGCGGAAAAAGTCCACGAGAGAAAAGGTGGTATTGAATCTTGGATGCCCAAAACCGATGATAGCCTGGGATGGAGAACCGGGAAATGCACACCACACTTAACGTATGTGTTGGAACTTTTACTAAGGGTGTTATCGTCTTACCAGAAACGTTACCTTCTTTTTATGGAAGAAAAACGGGCAGGACAGACTTCTTCGCTTCAACTGTTATTCTACTCCAAACTAAAGCTTTTGCTGTGGAACCCACAATACCCCTGTCCAACTGCCAACGCCTGTCTCAGAGAGTCTGAAGTTTTATGTAAAGTAGAAAACTTGACTATTACGTACTTCGTTGTGAATACATTAAAACTTTGTATTACGAAAAGTGGGACCCGAGTTTTCACCCGTCTAAACCACATTCGTCGACATTTATTCTAAAGGTAAGTATTCGTACAGATTTTGTAAAAATAATATTACGACGTTTTTAGGGGGTTCACTGAAGACCCTATATACAAAGACGAACGTTTTAAACCGTTTTCAGCTATATTTTAGTTCTTTTAATGTTCCGGCCAGCTGACTAATAAGAGCAGACTGGGCTCTCATTTCAGACAGAGGGTGAAAATAAGTGCTGCAGCACAGGCCTAATGAGAAAAGTAAAGACCTTCTCGAACATTAAAGCATGTAGGCCTACATGTCACAATACAGGCCCAAAATACAAAGATGTACCTGAAAATGAGATTAAAAGGGCCTCTTTAATATTAATATTAGCCACATTGCCTAGTATTAATCAGGATGATGGAGAATCAAACATGAACCTTCAGTTTCCAACATTTTTGACAATTGTAGAAGTTTTCATATAATTCTGAAGCTGTACATCTGGCAGAACATGACATTTGAGGTTGTAACTAACAGGCGCTCCTTGCTCGGCCTTGCGTTCAGGCGTTCTCAGTTCCGTTCTATGTCTGCTGTTCACTGTGACAGCCTACGGGTTAGAAAAGTATGCAGCCTTTGTGTGGAAGGTCAGCACTTCAAACCCTCGGACCAGCTTTAAAATTTGATTAGGCAAAGAGAACGGGTACCTATCTGTGCTCCCATGACAACTAGGAATAAAAGTGCCCTTGAGCTAAACATTTAACCTCCCACTGCTCCAGTGGAGCTGCTCATTGGCCAGAAACCGAAAACAATGGCTATAGTGTGAGACTAGCATGTGTGAGTGCTTTGTACTTTAGCTGGGTGAAAATTTGTGTGATTCTCCTGTCAACCTTGCCTGAATAAATACAGATTAAAGACACATGTAACCAAGAAACTCCACAGCACAATAAGTAAATCTCATATGCAATAAAGCTGATTGTTAAAATTGCTGACATTGTTCTGCACTTGTTAATGCATTCATGTTTACTTTTTCCAGCCAATATGGGTTTTATTTTGCCAGTGATACAGTTCAGAATCTGGATAACACAATATTACACTTTGCAATAAAAGCTTATCACTAAGACAACACGGCTTTTGTTTACGAATCATTCGCTTGCTCGCATCCAAACTAGGCCAGGGAAAAAGTGCAGCAGCGGTAACAACTTAACCAGCACATAGGAAAAAAGTGCACTAAAGTGCACTTTGCAATCTGCTCTAACATTTGAGGGTACACACTTCCCAGGTTGCTCTGCCCCTGGCTTGACAAATGCAGGGAGCTGGCTTCACACTAATCACTGTGGAGTACAGTACATCAGCTGCTGTGTCTGCAAAGTGGGCCTTTCCCTCTGGATGTTGTACAATCAGAGCTCCACAGGAAATGTTCAGAGTGACTAAGAGAGGGAAAGGTGTTCGGGTGTGAGGCTGAGTGATAAAAGGCAAAACAGAATGAGAAGAGGGAGAGACATTTCAGAGTTGCTGACCTTGGCAGCCATGTAGCAGAGTTGTACTAACTGTCCTTGACTTTGACACGGAGAAACCATCAGAACCCTCTAGTTCTCCGGGAGGATGGGGATTAGAAGGCTCTCTCTCTGTCATTGCATGCTGGGACCCGCTGGAAATGGATGACCAGATGGGCGGTAAGCCTCTGGCTCCAACTGTTGATTTGCCTGGACAGCATAGGATGGATTGAAGGCTGACTATTTGTGTATGTTTGCGGGTGAGTCAGTGTGTTTATATTCTCTGTAAGAGTATATCAGCATGATAAAGAGAAAAGCGGCTGAAAGGCGATTGGGGCAGGAGCCCGATCCAAATGGGGGAACGACAGAGGGAGGGAGTGCGGGCAGCAGATCTCACTCGGCTGGTGAGGAAGGGTGTCTGAGTGTAATGGGCACATTTGCCTCCCTTTACATACCGGAAACCCTGGCACCAGACTGTGGTCTTTGCAGGCTGCCATCCATGGCTGAAGCTACGCTGCTCCAAGCCATGTAACCTACCTCACTTGGCAGCAGATACAGCAGCGCTCAGCCAGGGATTTCTGGAAACAAGCACTCTCTGCCGCCTGCATGCCGTGTTTATATGCAATCAAACCAAAGTTAATGGGAAAATTCTCCCTTGCAATACAACAAAACAGGGGTTTATCACTCACCCTGAGGGTTTATGGATGCCATATCCACACACCATATGACAGCCTTCCGTGTGAATTTCGCCTCTGCACTGTCACATGCTGCACCCTGCTATTATACTATACTGTAGCTACAGAGTGCTGAGTTCCCCCTACTTTCAACTTCTTCAAGCTATAAAACGCGTACTGGGGAGACTCTGACAAAACCACATGGATATAGCATCTCAGATATATTAAGTCACAAACCCCCACAGGTCAAATTTGCTCTGGTAACTGCCAGGAGGATGCAAGACTCGACACAAATAAAAAGGCAACCTTGCCGTTGGGATGTGCCTCAGCTTTATAGAAGGAGCCAGTGCTGAAGCCCCATCTTTGAACATGTAAGTGTAAAGTCGTCTTCTGGATTTTCCTGCAACATAAAAATGAAACAAAGTTCAGTCATGAAGGCTGTGGCTCGTTGGTCTGATCCAAAATAATGTTTGCTAGTATCCCTTTGGACCACAAACGTTGTACGGCACAAAGTGGCTGCAGTGCTGTGAAACTGCTAATAGTCTGTTATGGAGTTAAGGCTTTGAGACAGGTGGCTAGCATTCAATTATGGTATTATGGGTTTGCAGGATGTAATGTATGGATTTGCAGGCGCTCTTCTACAAGGTCACTAGAATCTTGTGCATGCTAGAGACCATCGACCTGCCTTGCCAAACCAAAGACAGAATAAGAAATATACTGTAGAATAACTTAAAATATGTTACTGCACACTCTGCAGAAATGTCAGTCTAGTTGAACTTTGAAAATCCAGGCTTTTTGCAGGCTGTGTTGCTTTTTCTGACATAATTCTCCAACTACCACCTGTTTAGAGTTGGTTTTATGTGCTATGAGGGGGACATTATGTGCCACTTAATTGCTGTGTAATTGCTCCACTGTACCAACAAAGCAAACAGAAGCAGGAACACTGCAAAAAAACAAAACAAAGGTGACATTTATTCAACCAATTTCCAAGCTGCTCTGAATGTGGGTTGGTTGTCTTATGTTTCTCATTTTGTATTTGTTTTAGGGCTGTCAGTCGATTATAATATTTAATATTAATATTATCAATCGCGATTAATCGCAAATTAATCGCACATTTTTTATCTGTTCTAAATGTACCTTAGAGGAATATTTTTCAAGTTTTTAATACTCTTATCAACATACAGTATGAGTGGACATGCTTTATGCAAATGTTTGTTTATTATCATTGGAACANACTCTGATCCGGTTACTTATGTTGTGGCAGATGTTTAAGTAAGCTTTCTTAATGCTAATGTTATAATAGTCAGATTGCTCTGAAGATGGGAGGTGATATTCTATTAATGTTCACGCTCACACCTTCGGTGATTTTTGCCGGCCGTCTTTCCTGCAACGGCAGCTTTTCTGTATTTCCTTTCTCCTGTAATATGACTTGATCGCACACTGAGCTCTGATTGGTCAGCAGGCTTTCATTGAGTTGATCTCATAGCCTTCAACCTAACCTCCGGGGCAGGTTAGCTGCACAGCATAAGTTACCATGGAGATCTAGCCTGCTAAAAAGAGAACCAGCTTCGTAGGACCGGAAACCCCGAGTTTTCCCTGAAGTTAGCCGGCTAAGCGAAAATCCTGCTTCGTAGTATACCCCCCTGGAAAGGGTCAATGTTGCTACACTTGTGTTGGGTCATTTAGAATCAAATACCTTCTGGTTTCACTGTAGATGACATCTCAGCAACTGTTGATCTGTACTTTATGTCTCTGAAAGTGAAAAATAGATTCACAAACATTCACAACGCTTCAAACTATTGTCTATACTGAAATGTCTGTCTAACAAATTAAACATGAAGGAAAACTCTGACCTTTGGAACCTAAACATACATATTTTCTGCAACCAGTGATTTCATTGGATGTTCATAAGGAAGGGCTACTGTTCTGGCCAATCATTACACTGCTGAGTCGGGTCTTACCTGAAAGGTGACTGTGTCTTTTGTTCCCTCAGTAATGGCTGTCAGGCAGTATGCTGCAAGGACAATACCACTGGGAACTGTACCTGCTAAGAAACCCCCATTCACACTTTTTGTTCTGTGATAAGAATTATTTTTGGACATTGCCCTCCTAACATACGGGCAGCCTCAACATGCCAATCAGACAATTTAGAGAAAATCAAAAGCATTGTTTAAAAAAGCACTCAGATGTGTCACAATACAACAATTTTGAAAAACAAAAAACTAGAAGTTTCAAAAGGAATAATGTCACATCAGAAAGAAATTATTTATAAATGTATTTTATTGTATGTGTTATTGTAAATCACACTGTGCTTTTATAAACTATACAATTACTTAAGTACACCAGTGTATTTGTAGTTTATAACTTGTGCTGTCTGTTGATTGACTGGGACAACACTTTGGTGCGCAGGAAGTCAGAAACAAATGGAGCGATGACTTCAGGATTATTCAGATGAACGTGATGATCGCCTGGTACCCTAACAACCGTGTGCTGAAACCCACAGAAACAGAGAGGGATATGAAACTTCTGGTATAAAGAACAAAAAGCCACTAAGATGTTTAAATAATCAAGTAAAACCACTTCAAATTGATTGTAATTTAATTCCACCTCAAGTTGGAAACTCACGTTTCTGTTCTTTAAACATTCGAGGAGTGCTGAGGTAAATTTTCTTTGAGCTGGTTCAGAGAGTATTTTATCAAAGCCTTTATCCGTCCTGGAGGAAAAGATTTTGAATAAACAATGTGAGAATGGACCATATACTGTAGCATATCTATTGTTAGATAGCTATGGCAGACTAAAATGAGTGACTTATATACTTAAAAAAAACAAAAAACACATCATTGGGGCAGGGACATGATTTCCTCATTTAAAGCTGTATTTCTGTTCAGGCCATTAGCTAACATTTGTCAGTGATTATAAATGTGTGTCTTACGTCACAATGTGATACTACAGGTGTAACATTATAATACAAACATTTATTTCAGTGTAGTGATCAATATCTTACAGAACAGCTAGAACGGAGGCTTGAATCCTCGACTGTATCTCCAGACTCTGCTCCAAGCTGATGCGCACGATATTTTTCTGAAAAACATAAAATGAAACACAGCTACTGTAAAAGCTGAATACTAAACCTCTGTTGTAAAAAAAGCAAGTGAACAGAGGAGAGGTGATTTTAGGGGAAGGTTAAAAGTGACATACAAAATGAACTCGCAGGTCTCTGGAGAAGACAAACCCTGAAGAAGAGAAACACATTCAGAAGATGAAACCAAAGTGAGAATATTCCTCTGTTAGAAGAGGGGAAGAGATAAAGACATACCTCCTTCAACCTGAACGAGACCTCGCTCTAGGAGGATGTGCACCGACCGTTCAGACAGAGTCGGGTTTGCAGCCTTTAACCTGAAATAATTAAAATACGTTAGCAATCAGCATTAAAATAAGATGAGACAAAATGATTAGTAATCTGTAAAGTGATACCTTTCAACTGCCTTCTCGTACGTGTAAAGTCTCCTCTTCTCCTCTTCTGTCTTTTTTTCAAACTGTAGTATTTGATCTATCCCCTGACTCGCCACTTTGCATATTTCTTTCTGGAGGCAATAAGCAAGATATGTTTAACTGTTATATGAGATGAAGTATATTTATATCAATGACCACATTTTTCAAGACACGTAGGAATTGCAAACTCTCATAGAGTTCAAGAAGACTAAACAAAAAGAAGAAAAACACAAAGCCACTGGTCATTATGCCCTGGCAACACAAACAATTAAAGATTTACAGTGAGTGAAATCTGGTCAGTAAACAAAGATTAATACTGAATCTGTAGGTAGTATTCCGTAATTGTCCAGAAGCACAAGAGCATCCACCATCTCAGGATACAGTGCACTGAACTGTAGAAGACACAATTTAGACCATAATGGTTATAGCATGTTCAAAATCAGGCCTAATTAATCTTTGTGTGTTATGAATAAAAGAGGAAAGAGGTTACACAATGGTACTCACCATTCCAGCAACGTCTCCACCTGTAATTAAAGAGAAACCGCACGTGATTTGCAATTTAAATGACTTTGTAGCATAGCAACTCGGATTAGGAAAAATTCTGCTCAATTGGTGGACTCACCCATACTGTGGCCGATGACGGAGAATTTCCTCAGCTGCAGCGCTGTGGGAGTTAATTTCACAGATCATCAACCAGGTTCAGTATCTCATGAAAGAGCAGCGAGAGTCGCCATAAGTCTCTCTGTGGTTTAATTATATGCATAAATATGTTCCCACGCACCATCAGTGACTCTGAGTACGTCCGTCACGTACTCCGGTAAAGAGTAGAAATCTCCAGGAGGGCGATGTGATGACAGACCGTGACCCACCAGATCCACCGCAATGTATCTGAACTCTGAGGAGAGAAGAGATGAGACTATTTTAAACAACAATGACCTGTGATTTCACTTGGACTTGTGCCTTTTGACTTGAAATATGTGATAACTGACCCCAACCCCATAGTTTAAAAAGTATATGACATATTGCATGCAGCAGTGAAAGGGCAGCTGCAGTTTGTATTAAAAGGAAAAAATATGTGATTTGGAGCGTAGCCTTGGTTTGAAAGAGTACAGCAGCTTCCAATGAAGTAGGAATACAAAACCATGATGAACTAACGTTATCTAACTGAGGGGCCGTTGACAAATTCATACCAAAGATAATTTTGTTAGCATACCAAAACTATACAGTGGTTAACAAAAAACGAATTGCACTATACAAAATGTGCATACTGCATGCAGTGTGTGGACTAAGTACTTTATCCTTATATGGCATCTTGATCCTCTTTCTCATATCTGCTGTGGAAAGGATTGTTGGTCAGAACAGTTACACAGCATTCTGGCTTGCGTAATGCAAAATGTGACCAAGTGCAGTGCAGTACAGGCTACTTCAAATGGTATGGTAGTATCATGGATGTATAATAAGGGTAGTATGGGTATTCAAAAGTAGGGGTTGATTGTGCATAACAATGGCCTGGTCCCACCTCTGCTCACTGCACAGTAGTACTAGTGTGTTACCTTTGGGAAGAAGGGGAATGAGGGTTTTGAATGCACCACAGTTGTCAGCCCAGCCGTGCAGGCAGAGCACAGGACGACCATGTTCAGGACCCCAAACTCTCCCTCTGATCTCCCCCCATGGCACCGGGACACAGAGCTCTGAAACTGACACATTAAACAACAAAATAACTCATAGAGCAGTTTTAAAACGAGACTGCCAGATTCTTACAGACATCAGAAAAATCAAACCGTTTACGACTTTTAGCAACAGTATTGTGTATTAGTCAGCCAAGCGAGAAATTTGTTTATCAATTTGTGAAAGAAAGTCTGCAGCCCATGCACACAGATTTGACGGATAGGAGAAACTTACTTTACACTAAAAATACTAACAATAAGATCCAAAGAAATAACGTTTTGATTTGTAAACAAAGCGTGTGAGTATCAATACCTCACACTGTAGATTACACAATTTATCAAAGTGTCCTTCTAGACTGAATTTGTTTACCTTCTGCAGCCATCATAGCTGCAGTGTATAATGCGACATCAACTTCGCAAAAGTTATTAACATAACAAACAAAACGTGACGTGAGCACGTTACGCTCAAACCAACTTCCGTGTTGTCTGGTGGCGGCACTTTACTTTGTCCCCCTCAGTTTTGTCTTTCAGGCTATTTATACAATGGAGAGATGCATCTTACGAACTACTTATAGACTTTTTGGACAGTATGCATTGAAAGGTAAATGGACTGCATTTATATAAGTCTTTGTGACCAATACGTTACTTACCCATGTATGATGATCTGTTGCCTCAAGTAAGGGAGTGAGTTTTAACACCTGTGTATGGAACCAAGACTGAATACAATTATATGAACTGAATATAGGCTGCAAATGAATCGCCCTTCTACATTTAGGGAGGAAATAATTACACCAGAAACCATGTACAATACATTAAAAATAACTTTAATATTAAACATTTGGTGATAGAAAACAACAACCATACCACAGATGAGTATGGTCTGTTAGTAAAATGGTCAGATAATTATTGCTATAGATCGAAGGAATTGTAATTTCATAGATAGATACTCCAGACTTCTAAAACACCTGACAGGCCACAGTGCATTTCAAACCATCCTCAGGCAGCAGCTACAGGGTGATATAACACAGTTGGCTAACACAGTGATCTGTGCAGAAGGAAGACACTGGGCTAAAAGAAGAGTACAGCAGCCTGAACAACAAGCTTTCAAAGCTGATGATGTCCAGTTTTTAACGACAAGGTCGGAAATGAGAGTAGTGTTAGTGAGAATGCCATTCTATGACATGTTTATGTTGTTGTCATAGGGAACATGTTTAACTTCCCCCCCCCAAAAAAGTTCAAAGTCTCCTACCTCATCTCCTATAATAAGGAGGACAAAACTGTCAACATTTAAAACCGATAAAAAACACAAATTTGAATCCCATGGCCTTCAAAGCATAAAATAATATCTTCTATCATATAAGGGACATCCTCTAATAAGCTAATCATGCATTGATTTTTGTTATTGTTTTGAATCAAAGACAGTTTAAGGATGAATACGCTTTATATTTGGAGTTTTCTTTTAAGATTATCTCTCTTTATGTTCCATACCATTATCAGACAAATGTGTTTTTAAGTGTTTCTGTACATTTTCACAGAAGTCTCACACACTTGAAATTTTGACATTGATACAAGGGACAGCATCAAATATAATATCCAAGCTGCGCCAAAAAACCTAATTTGGCTGTTTTTTTGTATCAGTCTCTTCATCTCACACAACACTCCTTTCAGTAAAAGTATTTAAGGCACAACTAATGTTATTTTTATAAATATTTTAACTATAACTTTGAGGTCTGTTCCTCTTTTAGTGTAGCTGGCTCTGACAACACTTTGCTCCGCAGGAAGTCAGACACGAGAGGAGCAACGACTCCCGGGTCGTTCAGATGGATGTGATGATCGCCTGGTACCTTCACCACAGTGTGCTGAGAGAGAGAGAGAGACAATAAAATGTGTGAGAGATCTACCTCGAACAATATATATTTAATATATATATAATGTTTGTCAATACAAATAGAGTGTAACACTTCAACTAATCTCTATTAATTGCAATAGGGATGCAGATCTGTAGGCAACAGGACACGATTTTGGTATCAACAGTTTCTGTGTGTAGTCCAAGTAGTATTGACCGATCACATTTCAGTAAGCTTTGGTAGCATGCATGTAAACGGGTAAACAAAAGAGACATAACATTTTGCATAGGGCGAAATACAATGTTGGGACCGATCAGCAATTGTCTGAAGATGATTTTGATTTGCTTTTTTATGTATTTATCTGCTTTAATATGCAGGTATCTGTTTATGGAGACCAGATAAGTCATAATCCCTTAACTTCAACTCTTATATTTGTGTCCCAATTTGTTAAATAGATTGTGAACAATGCCCCTGTCTCTGAAGAGGGAGGTCTTGGATCGGATATCTGATATCCCTCACTGTGTCTGTGAGCTGTCTGGTCCTTAGCAGGTGGTGTACAGTGGATGTTTGAGAGATATTTCACAATAAATCATCAGCTTTCCGCAGCTGAAAACATTGCTGTGAGAGCGGTGAGAACTAACCCGAAATATCAAACTTGCTTCAGAAAAATCTAAAACTCCACAAAGAGTAGAGCCACAGTATCTGTAGGTTTAGGACTATGAGCAACACCTTTCATAATGACATTTGTATCATAGAAATGTTGATTATAGCTGCTTTAACAACTCTTACTCTGACATTAGTCCCTCTTTGTTTTCCCCCTCACCAGCTGACTTGGAAAGAGAGCACCATTGGAGCGATTAGTTGACGCACATCTTCTGTTCTCGCTCTCATCCGCAGCTCTGGACCAAACTCCAGTATGTAGGTCACAGTGAGGTTCACAGCTAGAAAGATTTCTGCTGCCTCTGAGACATTGAGCTCGTAACACGCAGATACTTTTTTGCATCTGTGCTGCCGCCTGTCTGCCTGTCGGCCTACGAGGCACAATTACACACACAGGCTTAACGGCTTAAAAATAAACACCACAATGTAGGAGCACCTACCTCACACAAACACAAAGTAAAAATACACTCACATTTCTGTCCCTATAGGCCTGAAGCATTGCTGATGTAAATTTCCTTTTATCTGGTTCAACAAATAATTTCTCAAAGCCGTCCTCTGCTCTGGAAAGGCAAAGACGAAAGAGAAGAAAAAGATTGTATGAATATTTAGTTAGGTACAATGTATTGGTATTGCATTGAGAAATGGAGGAAATGCTTACAGAACAACTAGAACAGGGGCTTTAATCATCGACTGCAATTCTAGACTCTGCTCTGCAGTGATGCGCACCGTATTTTTCTGAACAAAAAAGAGAAAAGAATACAATGAACAACACAGTACATGCATTTTATGGGCTGCACGAAACACCTGTGGTGGATACAAAAAGGAAAAGTGATGATTTTGTGCAGTTCAGCAAAAACCTACCAGATTAATACGAAAGTCTCGAGTAAACACCACACCTGCAAGATGAAAAAAAACACTTTATTTATATTATAAGAGTATAAAATTATTTGACGAGAGAACTTATTCTGTGAGGAGCATCTCTAACAAACACGAAAACAGAGAAGAAGAGATAAAAACATACCTCCTTCCACTTGAACGAGACCTCGCTCTAAGAGGATGTGTGCAGACTTTTCAGACAGTGTGGGGTTTGCATCCTGCAACCTGAAATAAATAAAACACATTTTTAGAAAACACATGGATGAGTTGGTGTGGAGTAATCCTAAAACAACATAAAGGAAAGTGCAACACCTCTCTACCGCGTTTTCATAAGTGTAAACTCTTGTCTTTTTCTCCTCTGGTTTTTTTTCAAACTCAACCATCTGATCCATCCCCTGCCTCATCACTTCAAAGACCTCTTTCTGAAAGAAAACAGAGAGAAATGATTAGGGAACACATTCAAAACTACTCTAGAGAGTGGATTTCACAGCACAGGTCTTTGAAATATTGGGTAAAGTAACAATATTATAGGAATGCTTAACCACAAAGGACAAAACTATTGCACATGCATTGGTGACATAAAACTTTTCTTAAATTGCAAAGAACCTATTTTTTCTCATTTAGTCCCAAAGTAGAATTTATTGGACATTGTTATGGATTAATTGACAGTGTTTTAACCTGAATCAAGGGTCCTGAAAAAGGATTATATTACAGGAGCCCATAACAGCGTAGCCGAGCACCTCCTCCTTCCTACAGTATAGATTACTAAATAAAATGTTTACTTTCAAAGACCTTTTTAAGTAAGTAAGTAAGTAAGCAAGAAACAATACATTCTCAACATGTGGAAGGACTAATGAAATTGTTATGAAGCGTTTTGGAAAGAAATGCAATGATTTTTTGCATCACAACTTTAAAGTGCAATGTATTTTTGTTCTTCCTTAACTAAACCTCAGATGATATCACTGTAGTAACTATAGATTGTGTGAATACCAGATCTGTAGGAAAGAATCCATACGAGTCCAGCAGTACGACAGCATCCACCATCTCTGGATAGAGTGCACTGAACTGCAGGAAAACACAATAGATGCCGCACATTAAAGAAAAAACACTCAGTAGATGTATCCTAATAAATAGTGCTCTGTCATTAAAATGTCACTTACCATTCCAGCGATGTTACCACCTGAAATAAAAAGAAAGTGCACATATAAATATGAAATACCACAAGCGTTCTAATTGCTCAAATGCTTCTGTAAAGCTGCTCTCACCCATACTGTGTCCTATGATGGAGAACTTGCTCCACTGCAGAGCTGTGGAAGCAATTTCACAGATCATCAACCAGGTTCAGTATCTCATCACAGAACACTGAGACTTTTTAGTCGAAAGACAGCGAGAATACTGTGGCTAAACGGCAAAACAGATGCACCAGGGCAGGGTGATTTAGTTTAATATTCTCATAGTCAGGAGAAATCAACCTCTCTTTCATGTGCTACAAAAAAACTTAGATATTCTTGAATGATTACTTTTTACAAGCTCAAGAGTCAACTACTCTTAATGTATGTTTAATGCAATAAACTGTGTTCAACTGTTGCACATTAATCTGGATAAATAAAGGTTTGAAATGAAATAAGGCAAAGCTCTTGAAATGTGTCAAATAGAACCCCAAATAATGATGTTTTTAATTAGATTGAACTAAGAATCTGTATTTCAGGTTCACATGTTGCTCATATATATATAAAGACATGTCTCCACTGAAGGTCTATGACCAATATTAAAACATTTTCACAGAGCCCCAGGCTGCACTATATCCTTTCAGAGATGTAGCTTGTTGAACGAAAGCTGAAATTGGATTTGAATTAAACATCTCCTGCTAGTTCTGTAACTCACTCACCGTCAATAACTCTGCGTACGTCCATCACATAGGTGGGGAAAGAGTAGGAAACTCCAGCAGGACGATGTGACGACTGGCCGTGACCCGCCAGCTCCACCGCCACGTACCTGCACTCTGAGAGGAGACATACAGAAGAACCATAACTCACAGAGAGGCTGTCACATGATCTCTTTAAGGAAACAATTACACATTTTAAACTAAACAAACCAAATATCCTTCACTCAATACTATTTTCAGTTGGATAGCTTCGCCTTAGATACCAGTAGAAAGACCCGATCAACCAGGAAAGGTTGTAATTTCTTGGTAGTATAATCAATCTTGAACATGCATGTAGGCCAGGAAAAAGGGTTAAATCCTCATCATTTTAGAGGCAGCTGCTCTTGCAGCTGAGTTACAGCAGCTGCAAGGAGGAGCTGCACTGCACAGATACACACTGTCTTCAGGCAAAGTGTAATCATCAAACACCTGCATGAGCTGGGAAGTCTTTTGAAAGTACAGTTGAAAAAACCAAGCTCAATTGTCAAGACTGTTTTTGGTCATACTGTGGGACAAACCAGGGGGTTTCTTATCTGTATTTTACTTTGAATTGAATATATAGCTGAGGCAAGCAGGACATGTTAAAGCAAATAAAAGAAAGAGGGGCAGTTCTAGTTGAATTCTAGTCATCCCTCTTCTTAGATCTTGTTATTGTGAGGCAACAGGCCAACACGCCTCCCAGGCTGCTGCGCACAAGGGGATCCCCAAGTTCCCAGGGTATGTGTGTCTCTTAAAGGTGGGGTAGGTAATTTTGGAGAAACCAGCTCGAGTGCGCTAGAATTTGAAAATACACAACCGGAAAAAATCTGCCACTTCCTTACAGAGCCCCTCCTCCAAAACACACGAACGCGCACATGACCAATGAGGGCAAGAGATAAGTTTGTGCACAGATGGAAGGCTGACAGGCAGGTAGGCCATCCAGTTATTTTAGCCGGGCCGGATTGGCCGTGCTTTTTACAGTACTACGGCTTCCAGAGATGACATTTTTTTATGGATTTGTTGTCAAAGCACTTAAGATATTCATTGCTATCGGGATGTTAAGAGCATTCCATGGAATATAACAAAAAGTATATTTCGAGCCGGTTTCTCAAACTTACCGACCCCACCTTTAAGGTAAATAATATTAAATATGAAAAATGTTAATTGATTTGTAATGGCCCTCTTGCCAGGTCAAATTACAGAGGAAAAAACAGAGATGTATGTTTTAAATGCAGTTTGAATAGTAAAATCCATCACTGAAATGATATCAATGTCTACAATTAAGAAACTGCCTGATGGAAAATTTGAGGCCGTATTTTTGGATATATCATTAGTATTTTGTAAGCAGTATGTGGGAGATTCTCCCATATTCAAACAGGGAAACACATTGAACAGATGACCTAGAAAAAGCCATAAAAGCTGTGCTTTCTTCTTTATATCAGCCTTCATTTTAAATGGCAGTGAATATGACATTGTATATTGCGAGTCTCTTATCAATTAAGGGATAAAAGCCCATACTGCGAGATTTGTAGTTACACCTTTACTTAAGGACATTAAGGAGGCTGGTGGCAAATAAGTTATGCATGAACAACAATTACCTTTGGGTAAATGGGGAATGAGGGTGTTGAATGTGCCACAGTTGTCAGCCCAGCCATGCAGGCAGAGCACAGGACGGCCATGATCAGGACCCCAAATTTTCCCTCTGATCTCCCCCCATGGCACCGGTACACAGAGCTCTGAAACTGACACATCAAAAACTCTGGTTTAGTTCAACTTTGAACGGCTGAAAACTCTTCTGTTAACTTCTCTGGGCCCAGTCCAACTAAATTAGTTTTTGCTCACCAGGAATATACATGGAAATGCACGCTCACTCAAGCAAAACTAAGAGATGTCTGTGCCTAATGTCACTCTCCACTGGAATAGCTTCTTGTTCAGCTTCTTGATTTTAGGGAGAGGCTTCTTTTTTTTTGTATTTCCATGTGTGGGTTGAACTTTTGGATTGGTAATGTGTAGATCTAAAAGAAAGTATAAATATGAATCAGTTCAAAAATAAAAACGGCTTGACAAAATTAAAGGTAATTATCTAAGTTAAGTTACGTCAAGGGGTAGGACCATGTGTATAGTTTTTCCTGCTCCTTTTTGAACATGTAATATGTATTTGTCTTGTCTATTGATGGTTCACTTTATATATTTAGTATTCACATTATTCGTTATTCTTGTTTTGCTGTTGGAAATAACAATATTATGTCTTATCCAATACTATGTGTGTTCACTCATACATGCCCTGCATTGTTATTACGTCATTCATACACATGCACTAATTTAACTCTAAAAAAACATTTGCAATTCTACTGACATGTAAACACGATTAATTTAGCTGTTTTCTCTTCTGTTACACGCTGTCCTGGTTATGGAATAAATCAATCAATCAATCAATGTTGTTTATTTATATAGCCCAATATCACAAATGTTACATTTGTCTCAGTGGACTTCACAGTTTGTACAGAATATCAGTATGACAATACGACACCCTCTGTCCTTAGAACCTCACATCGTACAAGGAAAAACTTCCGGAAAAAACCCCACAGTTTAAAGGGGAAAAAAAACACTCATGTTTCTCCATTCATCACACTTACACACACTTATTAGTTACCTGCTTGTTTCATTGCACTGGTATGGAGGTGTCTTACGCCTTTTAAGGCCTGTAACATGTCGGTAAATACCACCGCTAAACAGCTGATGTAAAACCTATAAAACAAAAACAAATCTCAAAACTGAAATAACTTTACAGCCTTTTTGACGGTCACCGACGGTGTTTTCCGGGTGTTGAAAACCCACGTGACATGATTTGAAGAGGCTATTGGATAAACAGACATGGAGCAACTATCTGGACCAATCAGCGATAAGAAGAGGAGGGGCTTACCTCTCAAGATAACAAATGGAGATCTTTTTAACAATAAAATGAAGTTAAAAAATGTTAATTCACAAACATTGTGAAATTATGCATAAGGACAAGAAAAGGAAACATAGGATAGTGTCACGTCAGAGAATTATACATTTTTTAATAAAACTCAGTAAACGAGGTTTGAGGAATCTGTTGTACCACAATGAATGGGATAAGTATCATGAAGCAATGTAAATTACATAAGACTTAAAGATAAGAAACAAAGCAATAAACAAAAGACAAAATAGACAATATGAGAAATCATAAATAATATACATAATCTATCTATCTATCTACCTATCTATCTATCTATATATATCTATAGTTTACTTGGAATCAAAATGTTCCAGATCAACTTTGGAGGTGTTGTGAACATTTGAAGTGTGGTGAGAGGATGTCTGGAATAATGTGGTGATATGACGGTGAAGGGAGTATAAAAGGTCAGCTTTGAGGGGGGGAAGTCAGGTCAAGAAGAATTTTGTACATCACACAGGACATTTTACTACTCTGCAGGTATGAGATATCTTTTTTAATTGTTTTAAATGTAATTAGAATAATAGGGTACAAGGACAGAGAAATGTCATTGTGGAAAATACTTTTATACAAAACAATATAAGAAATAAAGCAGTTTTTAAGTGCCAAGGTTAGTATTGAAGAAATAAAAAGGTATGTATAACCATGTAACAGCTTCAAGAGCATCATCTGATTTCACTTCACATGAATTGTGCAGGGCTTCACCAAGGTTACATTGTAGACTCTGTGAGGGCAGCTGAGGTGATGAAGACGCCTCTTTCTAATAATTAATCACACTTGAGTTCAGCAGTGACTGCACACAATCAAACGGTGGATGTGCAACTTGATGTGACCTTTATTTTTCTTGGATTTTTATGTTACTTCCTGTGACTGAATCTGCTTTTTATTCCTCAAATCTGTGCTTTTATTATATATTATATTACCTCCTCAGATAATGGCTGACTTTGACATGGTGCTGAAGTGCTGGGGTCCAGTGGAGGCGGACTACGCAACCCACGGGGGGCTGGTGCTGACCCGGTCAGTGTCTCCTACCAGATTAGATGAATATGTCTTCTGGGTCAGGAGGTTTGCAGGGCTGTAGAAATGTTTTTTGAAGGCACATTATTTTTCATTAAGTTCCCTTCACAGTTTTATTTCCCAATGTGAGGCCATGACAGTGTCCTCATTAGGGGTGAAACGATACATCATTATAGATTGATATAAATTAATTTACAAGTCAACAATCCATACATATCATCATTTTTAAGATTTAGAATTAAACAAGACTTTTGAAGTAAAACAGGCTGTTTTTGTAATGTATTTAATTTATTAGATTGTCTGTTATTTGTATAAAGAAGAATATATATGTTTTTATATCTAAATGGGTCTAATAGTTGATATAAACATAACTGAATCTGTTAAACTGGGTATCATAGCAGACTTTGTGATATCAGCAAATATTGTATTGATGTCAAAGAATAAATATAAAATATATTATCATATTGTGATAAACTTGTGATTTAAACCCCTTGTCCTCAGTTGTGAGTGTTATTTCAGGTGAACCCTCACATTTTCTTTTCATCGCAGTTTATTCACAGAGCACCCAGAAACCCTGAAGTTATTCCCCAAGTTTGCTGGCATCGCCCATGGGGACCTGGCCGGGGATGCAGGTGTTTCTGCCCACGGTGCCACAGTGCTGAATAAACTGGGTGATCTGCTGAAGGCCAGAGGCGCCCACGCTGCCCTCCTCAAACCTCTGTCCAGCAGCCACGCCACCAAGCACAAGATCCCCATTATTAACTTCAAGGTGAGGTTGATTGACATGAGGGCAAGTTCAAACGTATCTAGACCATTGTGGTTTGATCTTTCCTCCAACTTTTTGTGTCCTCCAACCTAATTTTAAAGCATTTTTTGTGATTCTTGTATTCAGCTGATTGCAGAGGTCATTGGTAAAGTCATGGAGGAGAAGGCGGGACTGGATGCCGCCGGGCAGACTGCCCTGAGGAACGTGATGGCCGTCATCATCGCTGACATGGAGGCCGACTACAAAGAGCTGGGCTTCACTGAATGAAGATCAGATTCACAAAGTGTTGCTGTAGACAGACAGGAAAAATGTACCACATGCAAAATAAAATGATAAAAATGGTCTGATCTTCTGTAAGCCTAATTAAATAATGTTTGCAATGAAATTAAATCCATTACAGCAGCATCCTTAACTACCTATAAACCCTTATCACAAAAAAATTCTCTGCTCCTTTTTTTCAGGCACTATCCAAGGTTTATTCTTTTGCTGAATATTAAAAAACACTCACTTGATTTATGTGTTTTATTAGTCACCTCCTGTGTCCTTAATATTCAAGGTAATAGAGTTATAAATCAGTGCTGTTAAAATTAAGTGTGCTCATCGCAAATAATAAATTAAAGGAGAAAAACATGTCGTTGTCGTTCAATAAAAAAAAAATGAATTGGTTAGTGGGAAAGCCACTCCAACATCTAAGAAACTGAGAATTCGAATGGAACTTTCTTTGTTTATCACACACATGTTCATGTACACAGCACACAGTGAAATTTGACCTCTGCATTCAACCCATCCTAGTCCTAGGAGCTGTGGGCAGCATTTGCACAGCAACCAGGGCGTAATGAGGGGGTCGTGCCTTGCTAAAGGGAATCACGGCAGTGCTCAAGAGTTTAACTGGGACCCCTCTAAGAACCAGTCCACACTCTCTACTTTGGTCTGTTCAGGGAACCTCCTGTTCCAACGCCAAGTCTCCACAGACTGAGCTCCTGCTGCCTCAGTGACAGTGCAGATAAGTTTGTGGACACACACAAATAGCTCTCACAAACAAATGCAGACAGAAACTCACACGTAATATATATATATATTTTTTTAAAAAGCACTTAACACAGCAATGCCCCCAAAGAGCCTCACACAGTATTATCTTTCAGTTCTTAGAAACCTGACACAACGTATGACCCTGTTGCTTCTGCTAACAAACTTAATGATGGCTCATTAACATATCATTAGCTCTCTGCAATGTGTTTGAACCCATAGGTGAAATGGTTAATGTATAATTCACTGGGTTAGGGTTAGCTTAAAGTCTGTTGTGCTTAAAACTGTCACACTCAAATTTGATAGCAAAACTTCAAACTGCATTGGAAGCGTCTCCCTTTGTTCCTTGCAACTTCAACTGACAAAATAGTCACTATCTTACAAATGTAGACACCAGACCTCTTTTCTTTTGGTTGACCAATCAAATGCCTATTTATGATGGAGAAGGTGAAACATATTTTGGTTATCATTGTCATTCACATCCTGACCCCTTGTGCCTCAGAGTTTCTGACTTCATGCTACAACAATGTTTTGTTGTTTGATAGATAATTGCCACGATGATAACCCAACTATTAATAGCGTGTGTGTGTGTGTTTGCACGTTAGGGCATGCATGCGGACGTGACACCAGGCACAAGGCCTTTCGTCACACCCTGGGGGAGACACCGCTGCCTCCCCCGTGGGCTGCTGACATGTATGATGGAAAGTAATATATTTTAAATATCATTTTTTTATATCATTAACATTTAGTTTTTTGAGTGACCAAATGTAGTATAGTTAAGATTGAAATTACAATCCAAGAGTGTAATAAAACAACATTTACATTTCAAATACAATAACTATCAAATGGGGTTTGTCCTGTTCTTGAATATGACTGAAGAAAGTGAAGAGCCAGAAAAGTTTTTTTAAAAACAAAAAGCTGCTCTAAAAGCACTTTTCAAACCAAATGTCAGAATAATAAAGATACATACTAGTCTTTTACTGTTCAAACACATCTTTCATTTCTTGTATTTTCACTATTTACCTGATGGAAGCAATGGAACCATAAAAAACACATATATTACAGAATATGTACATAAAAAGCATACTGTAAAGTATTATCATTATATATACGATGCTTTCAATGAAGCTGTGCAGCATCATGTTCTCAGCATCATGTTCTCATTGATATACAAAAACCAGCTGACAGATATTTGTTGATCCCACAGCACAGTGGGATGTAAAGCCCTGCACACACACAGGTGTTTACAATCTGTGATCAGATCTCTGTTTAGGTTTAAGGTAAGAGGAGCTGTGCTGAAATGACAGTGGAGAACAGCCAGGAAACTGTAGAGAAGAGATGTAATCTGCCAAAAGGTGTGCCAGTACTATGAGTGTGCAGTCTTTAACAGATCCATTAAACAAAAAAAGAAAAAGGCTTTTATTGTAGCTATTAGCCAGTCCATTAGATAACCGTTTGAAGTTCAAAAGGATCTTTTGAAAAACCATGCTGATGTGTTCTTGGCTACCACAAATAAATATACATGAAACAAATAAAAAAGTGAGAGACACCCCTCCAGAGAAAACAGGAGCTAATCGAAGCTTGGCTGGTCGATGTCGGGGGGGACGGTGCAGCTCGTCAGGCTGGACAGGTAGAGAGCGGTAGCCATGGGAACAAGACCAGCCGACACCTTCAGGATGATCAGCAGCCGCTTTGTAGCGTTGGTCACACCGTCTGGTGTCTGGAGGGGAAAGCATCACACAGGAGTTTTAAAGAAACACTACGGAGAAACTTTCAAAAGATGTGTCGAAATGGCGTCGTTTTTTTTATAGCATGCAGTCATACTGTTGTCTGTTGTCATGGAAACATGTAGCTGGGTATAGTTTCTCTAAAGTAAGGATTGGATGCTTTTCTTTGTTGTATATGATAGTAAACTGAATATCATGGGGTTTTAAACTGTTGCAATATGCAATGTCCTAATATCAATATCCATAGCAATATCCAATGCAGACAAACGAAATATCTGGGGGGAATGATAACAGCCATCCCTCAATACTTTTTTTAAATGAATCTAGAAAATAATATCCAGATTAATAGATGAAGACGATATTCCTAATTTGCGGCCCTAATAAAATAACTTTGTCTTCTTTAGACTGTTAAAGACCCTCATATATCCTGTTCCTGGCTATTGTTAAAATCTATGTCTTCCCCTTTTTCTACACATACATTTGTCTCTGTAATGACGAATCAGTTTAAACCATCATAAATCTTTGTGTGAAAGGTTGATTCAAACCTGATCCTCTGCAAACAGTAAGGGGCAGTAAAGCGCTGCAGCGAGCTTCCTGACAGCGTCCAGCCGCTCGGTCGGCACTGACGCGTTACGAGCTACAAGAGACAGATTCATGACAGAGCGGCGGGTCAGACTGAGACACAGAAAGGCCGCTCGTTTAAGAAACAACCAAGGGAGGCATGAGGTACATATAATAGTGATAGATCTATGCTTCATTTTAAATCTTTTGTTCCTGTAATGTCCATCTTAAAATTTGATTCAAGAAGCTGAAGAGAGTAGGAAAACACTTCTACTAAGAACTGAACCCGTCGACGTACCATTAGTAACCATGAAGCAGACTTTGCCAAGTAAATATCCAGGGTCCAAATATTTCAGGGAAGCTTCTGCTGACTGGAAACTATAAGAAGACCAAAAAATTATACATGTAAAACGATTAGTTATTATATAATCTATTCAGGGTTCATACAGCTTTTAGCAAATAAAATTCTGCCTTTTCAATGTACATTTACAGACAATTGAAGCCTTTATCTTATTATTGAAATGACTTTAAGGCCTCGTTTACACGGGAACGCAAAGGAAAAGGAATCAAATTCGATATCAAAAAAGTCTTCCGTTCACACGCAATCGGCTCAATTAACGTGTCCGTTCACACGAGACCGCTCGTAAGCGCTGGAGACGCTGTAGTACATATGCCGGGCCTGTAAGTGGCGCTGTACTTCCGCCACAAAACACACCAAAAGCAGCGAAAAAGACTTCCCGAGCATGGTTGCTTTTCTGTTTATTCTCTGCGGTGGATTTAGCAGCAGAGATGGGGAGAGGCAGGGCTCTGGCTGTTTCTCTTTTTCTCCCTCCCCGAGGCAAGCGTGTGCTCCTGCTGTAAATCTCCCCGGTAGTCCACCAGCAGATGAAAAACACCCACCTCTCTGCCTCTTCCATTGAGAGAAATTAAGTATCCACAGTAATCAATGTGTGTTACCACTTTGATTACTTCTTTGTCTGGATTGGGACGCCAGGAGACAAACTAATATTGGACTGTTTCATTTTATTTAATTAAAGACCTTTAACCTTGAAAACATAATGGTAGATATTTTTCTTCTGTGTTGAGGTGATTCAAATATAAATATGGGAGGATGTGAAAGTTACCTGAGCTCTGAGGTGAGGTTGATGATAAACACCACCAGGTCTATCCTCGGTCGGCTCTCCTCATTCTCCTTGGGCAGAGGCAGACTCTTAGCTAGTCTCCTGATGGGTAAAATATGAATATGTTCACCTTTATGTAGCAAACAGAGGCTAAATCATACAGATGTTTATGATGTGTTCATGTCATCAGACAATTCAGGTCGGGTGTATGAGGGTTTAAAAAATACAATGCATTGACAATAAACAAAACATTAGCAGATACAACATTTTTTATATAATAATAAGGGTTAGAAGATGGTGGTTCCAGTTGTGTGATTACTGACCATTTCCTGTGTCTGAGCGGAGCAGTTTAAAAGGAGGCAGCAGTACTCACACATTCACAGTGACGGCGGTCTCCTCCACCAGAGCGTCTGCTAAACTCTTCTGAAACTGCTCCTCACTCTCCACCAGCTGGAGGACAAACAATGTCAGCACGAAGCTGGATGATATGACACTGTGATTCAAATTAAAGCAGCACAGGATTTACTGAAGATGTCCTTCAATATGTACTTGAATATGTTGTTGAAATTAACTCAATAGCCCATAATATACTTCATTAGGTGCTGGTACTTTGCTTCAGTTTATGCATTGTGTGTAACTTTAAATTCTACCCACTATAATTTAAAGACACCATTTTTTTATTCATATGACAGAGAATACACCTTCATCAGATATCATGTACAGAAAGGTTGTCAGATTCTGCTCACATCAAGTACAATATTAAAATGTAACACATTATTGCATAGGAGTGCTGACCCCAGCGTTTGGAAGCACTTCTTTAAGGAACATGTGGTTTTTTTGTAATGTTTTTTTTCTTTTTTTAAATTAGTGTTCCTATGTTCATGGTGAGGTTCATGTGAAACTGAGA